TTGTCCAGGTGTGTTAAACAAGGAACATGTGCCACGCCCAACTGCGCCAACGGAAGATTTTCCCTGAACAAGTGCAAGTGCGTGCAGGAGGAGAGGAGGTGGAGTTAGCTTCCCGTCGCTGCTCTCTGTCCTTCCCTCTGCCCCTTCGGCCAGTAAAGTCTGTCCGGAAGTCTGGAAGAACTGTCCTGTGCCTATATCGGAATGCTTGGCTTGGACGGACTGATGGTGTGCCCGGGCGATGGAGTTGGATACTCTGCACCCCGCCAGCCCGTCTTACTGTCTGTGAATTTCGAATATCTTCGTCTAACTGGGAAATGGGCAAGTGGTTAGACAGTCTCCCAGATTTCACTGGCTGCAAGATTTTGTTGTATTATCCAAAGCACATACTCACCAACAGTAGCGTAACTAGGGGGCGGGACACGGGTGGTACACCCACCCCTATGAAATATCTGTGCCACCCAGGCGCCTCGTAAAGGAAGTATTTTCCATTGTTAAACAGGGCCTGTAGCGGCTTCTGAAAGTCTCATATTATTATCGAAGCATATGTTGTGACATCATCTCGGATAGAAAATGTGCTAAAAGCTATAGGTGATTGATTCATGTCAGCTGACCATATCAGCTGACAGCATTCGGACACGCTCGGGTATCACAGATAGGAGTGTGCAAGCAGCTTGTTCCATAAGCCCAGGTCCGCCTTGCTTTTTCATGCATACGCGTGTACTCCAACCAGAGCCCCACTAAAAGATGCTGCATCCCTCAGCTCCGCGATAGTACCCTAGTTACGCCGCTGGTCACCATTTCAACGTGTCCAAGACGACTACTGCTAACTTCACACGGAAAATCGAGCATTTAGCCTGGGCAATATTTCTAACCTACCAAGCTGGAAATGACTCGTTAGTCTCTGATCTAATATACATCGAGAAATTGAAGGTTAAATGCATAACTACAGCTTTCCGTCACGTTAACACTGAACATAAAAACTTGGTCATTTGCAAGCGTGCGTTTCATCAAGGGGAAAGGCACATTATCTTTTTGCCCGATTCTATTCTCTCACATCAATATGACAAACAGCAACTGCTGTGGTAACGAGATAGCCTTACCGTGTACTTATCGTAGAGGCTGTAGTAATGTAGAGTTGAGGTGGGATATGTTATGGTGCTTATAGGTGTTTCATCATTTTATTATTATTTTTAATACGATTTCGTATGTATTCTGTATATTCTGTTACGAAATGTAATTATTGTTAAGAAAATATGAGTTCTGAAGTTGCATTTTAACTGTAAAACACTAATTAAAACAGATATACTAAATGATAAAAAGTGTACTCATATCAAACGGGATCAAGTAATGAGAAGTACTTTCATAGATAAGATAGCAGATTGTATATTTAATTTAGACTGTTATTCCTCCACACCATTAACGACAACAAAGTAAAGTTGATTTGTACAGCAAAAATGACTGAACATAGAAGAACTGGGAGAATCCCGATGACTGTGCCTTTTTGTCTGAAATTGATAATTTAGTTTAAGTATAGCCCACGCACGATACTCACACTACGAATGGTATCCTCAGAACTTTGGCGTTGTTTGATTAACTGTAGGCCTACTGTAGGCAGACACCAGTGTCACGTGACTATTGCGTGTGACGCTTTCCCAATATCGGAAATTCCAAGCGAAACGCCAAAACTAAATACAAGCGAAATTTATATGTAAATTTCGTAGCTCCTGACATCTTGCGTAGGCCGTATAGGCAGTGTGCCTCATTCATTTAGAATTCGGCCCTGTTGATATAAATGTGTTGTATCTTTCTAGAGGGCGCTCCTTAACTGGGCAGCACGTGGGGGCACAATGGTCGAGTTCAGGCGGCCGGTTCTTAACACGGGTTTCTTGTTCTCGCGCTCGAACGGTGGGAACACAACCCAAGAACACTGTTCCCGGAATAGGATCACACACCACCTCCTCGTTAGGGTTTTACAGGAACACATGGAAAAACTCGCGAGATTTTGATTTTTGAACAGTCGAAAAAGATAGCGAGATAGCTCACAGAGCCGGAGACAATGGGAAGTTTTACAAAATTAACAATAATCATTTTCCATAGCAAAAAAAACCCGAAAGTTCCTTTTTAAATAGAATAGAATTCAGCCCAGCTTTCCAAGTTTACTGTGAAAGAACGTACATGGATGCCGCCATGTTCCATGCAACAACCGATTGTACGTTCCCGGCGTTCGAGCAGTCGACTTACGAACAATAAATTGAGCTATTCTTGAGCATACGAGAACAAGCCGCCTGAACTCAGCCAATTCGTACTTGATGTGTTTAAATGACAGTTAACAGGAGACCAGGGCTAGGGGGGACGTGACATGCATGGCGTGATATCTCGTGGTGTGGTGTGCACAGATACGAATGATCAGTTCAACAGAAACACTGGCGTAAAGGAGTGATAAATGAGCTCTTCGGTACCAGGTATTTTCTCATTTCTCCGTAGCTTTTATTCATCCAAAGTACGACACCCCAAACGGTGCCGAACAACACGAAGTTTCAATACCAAGCCTGCCTGTGTCATAGAAATCAGTACACCATGGCTGTAAATGGCGAAGAATTACACTAACCTGAACGCACGCGCTGAGACTTGCCTATTTAAATTTTTGTTTCTTTGCTTCATTGCTCCAGCTGTCTGCCCGTATGTCAGCGTCTTGTAAATCGCGTTGGCATCCGCATTGGTATGTGGGCCGAGCTCAAAATCAGTTTGTATTGAAGATCACATCACAAATGTTCAGGCAGTGCAAAACCAGTGCATAATAGTGGGTAATACGTCGGTCCCATGTGTTGAGAAAATAAATTAAAAACTGAGTCGAACTGTATTTAGTCTTCATGCAAAAATCCGATGCTCCAGATCACGAATGTATTTCATATATTATTCAAACATTTTCAAAGGTATTCTTGCTTAACAATTTTAACTTTTTCATGTAGATTTGCAATTTTTAAAAAATAAAACACTGGCACGAACAATAAATTGTACAGCTCCATACATCTAATGTCGGCAGTTGCTCATTGAATTCTTGAATGATAAATTGTGTTAGGCCTACTTGACGGCAGTTCCTTGTAAGTTAAAGTGCTTCACTTAAGTCTTAATTAACTCTAGCCTTTTTCCTTTGGTTATACCTTTTCTGTAAGTTGTATGCACAATGGTCAGTTGATGGATTATAGCGTTTATTGGATATGAATCAAAGTTGCGCAGATTTACGAAAAGTATCAAGTTCAACACAAAATGGCAGTTCAATGTGATTTTGTTTTTCTCCCTTTTTTTGGGGGGGGGGCGTTATTGTTCTTTTTTGTTTTGTTTTGTTTTGTTTGTTTTAAAACCTAATTAGACTGCTGCCAATTTCAGACAATGCTGACAAACTTCTCCTGCAATGGGAGACTTTGAGACACTTGGTGGCGGCAGATAAACTGTCCCTATCCGCGGTTGTGTGCGTGCTCAGAACTAATGCCTATGCTTAGATGCACGCGCACGCCCACATCAACCAAAAAGGACCCTTGTGTCTGCCGCCACCCGGCGTCCTAAAGTCTCCCATTACTCGTCCTACAAACCGCGACCACTGGAACATGTCACGCGGACGTCCAGTGGATTAGTTCATAAGATGTATATAATTTATTCCTGGAAACATTTCTAATGACTTGTACATGTGCATGTATTATAAAATTGGGGAAGACTATATCCTTGTCTTCGTGGTGACAATGTACATGTACATAATGAGAAATATTGTTAGTATCATATAATACACATCAAGTTTTTATTTGGTATAACAAGGATTGTATTTGGGAGATGTTAACGTTGTACGTGAACGATTAACACAGCAAACACTTATATACACTGAACAGTAAAAGAAACTTGACACTTCTGTCAAAGGCCACGTATAAAAAATTCACCCCATAGAAATAAACAATTTTTGTACACAGGTATGCAGCAATATCCCTTACTAATCATATGCCTAAAAGCTAGTGATTATCTTAATAACAAAGAAAAAATTGACATACACAGCAACTTTGTTACTGAATCAAAAGTCACACACAAAAGCACTCTCTACCAAGCAAAAATGACCCATGAATGGACAACATTTTAATTAAACAACCAATGACAAAGTGAACACCTGCTTTGTCAAAATGATGTGCATGAGTGGTTTATGTACATGTATAGGGATGCCATCCTCACTGACTATGCATACACATTATTGAAAAGTAATGATTGCAACTTCTTTATTTTGTGCCTGTGGCATTTATTTCTGCGTAAAACTTACAGCTT